ACCGAGCAGTGGTTTTTGAAGAAAGCATACAGAATGAGGCTCTCCCCCGACTCTGACTCAAAGTTTAATTTCTTTAAATACAAAACACCAAGAAAGAGTTACTTTTAATTGACAGTTGGCATCCCGTTTCTCTGCTTAACAATGATTATAAATTTGTAGTTCTTATATTTGCTAAAAGACTCAAATCTGTACTGGGTTCTGTAATAGATGAGACACAATTTTTTTTTTTTTTAACTAAAGACACATTGTTAATAAGGTTGGTTCTTGATTTATTAGATTATTCAGACTTGATACAGGAGGACCGCTTCATTCTTTTCTTAGATTTCTATAAGGCATTTGATTCTTTTGGGGATAGGTTTTGCAGAGTATTTAAAACCCTTTACAATAATGGAAGCTCTTTGATTAAATTAAAGAATGGCACTTCACTTCAACAAGGTTTAGTTTATCTAGAGGAGTCAGACAAGGTTGTCCCATTTCTCCCTATGTATTTCTTCTTTGAGTGCAGCTGTCAATGTTTGTTTGTGAAAGCGGTATTCGGGGTATCTGTATAGCGGATCGAGAAATAATTATTAGTCAATTAGCAGATGACACCACCTTATTATTAAGAGATGCTTCCCAAATCCCTATAGCATAAATTATATAAAACTTTTCTCTGAAGCTTCAGGTCTTAATCTAAACATAAGTAAATGTGAATTAATGTCTATTAAAGATTGTACAGCACCCACTATTTATAATATTCCAGTTAAATCTGAAATTATATTTAGGCATTGTGATTACTAAAAATCAAGATAAGAGATGTACCTTGAACTTTGACCCTGTTATAATAAAAGCCCAAAGAAGATTTAACGCATGGTTGCAGAGAGACTTGACTTTGAGAGGCAGAGTACTGCTTGCTAAGGCGGAGGGCATTTCCAGGTTTACGTATGCTGCATTCTCTCTATATGTGGACAACAAAATTTGTAATTCAGTCAACAAAATCCTGTTTAATTTTGTTTGGAAGAACAAAATCCATTATATTAAGAAGTCTGTAATATTGAACACATATGAGTATGGTGGGTTGAATTTCCTTGATTTCTCTTCTTTGAACAACACTTTCAAAATTAATTGGATTAGGCAGTCTATGTGTAATCCAAACTCAATCTGGGAATTTTATCCCTCATTTCTTCTTTTCCAAATTAGGTGGTCTCCCTTTCCTATTGACCTCTAATTATAATATTTCTAGAATCCCTTAATTGATCTAAATTCCATAAGCAGTTATTACTTGCATGGTCATTAATCTTTAAGCACAACTTCTCCCCTCACTGGTACTTCATTTGGAACAATCAATATATTGTATATAAGAATAAATATTAGTTTTTTAGTAATTGGTTTGAGAAAAACATTTTGATTGTTTCCCAGTTATTTAGCTCAGAATGTCTTATTTTAAGTTATAAGGAATTTTTATGTGAATTAGATTTTCCAGTAAAATCGCTGTTCCTAAAGGAGTTGTTATTCTTTTAAGGGAGTCTGTTAGATCATCCAGCACTTTACCTATTTCTTTAGACCCATTTGAAATCCCGGTAGGAAAACTATGCTTTTTTGTCACATCCTTTATCACGTAACTATAAAATTAGATCTCACTTTCAAAAGGAGCTTGGAACAACTCCATATGTGGGGTCTTATTGGAAGAATTCGGTTGATCATATTGATTGGAAAAAAGTATGGACTCTGCCTTTGAAATACATAATGACTAACAAGGTTAGAGAAAATTCATTCAAATTGTTACACAGAATTTACCCAGCTGAAGTGTGTATGAAAAGGTTTAAATCAGACATAGATACAAGCTGTTCTTTTTGTGGTGCCCCTTCTGGGATTGTCCTCATACACAGCTATTTTGGATTTATTTTTTCTAATGTTATTAATCGCAATGTTCTCCCGGGTTTCTCTTTGTTTATTAAGGATGTACTGTTGAGCTTCTTTAATATACAAAAAGATAAAATGAATGAATACTTTATTATTAACCTATTATTACTTCTTGCAAAATTTTCAAATTCACCGCATTAAATTCACTCATCACAATCCTTTATTTATTATTTTTTAAAAAGAGGTTCAACAGTATATCCAGACTATTTAATCTTCCAAGAATCTTAAAGCTCTTAAAAGTTAACTTATTTCACCTTTTTTAATTAATTTGGTTAAAGCGGTGTTTTGCTTGTAATGTCACTTCTTTGTACTTTTTTATATTTTCTGTACTTATATTTTTGATACCTTTGCATTAATAAAAAAAAAAAAGCATGCTACTCCCAGGACAGAAATTTGGGGGGAGTGTGAGAAAACAGAAGCCATTCGCCCTTATTAGAAGTTGATGTATGATTTTGTCAGAGAGTCAGAGTGGCTTTATTATTATTTCAGCTTTACACAGCAAAAAAAAAAAAATCCTGCACATATTAATTCAATTAATTAGACTAAAAAGTGTTAAATAAGAACTAAAAAGAAAGGAACTAAAAAATAAGAACTAAAATAAGAATTGAACTTATACGCAGACTAAAGTGCATGTGTGCATACCTGAGTTTGAAACTGATATTTCAAGATTTAAAAAATAAAATAAAAATATAGAGATCATTTATTCAGTTGATCACCATACAATAGGGCAGGATAGACTGCAAGTGAGAGGAACTAAAAATTTGTTTGCATTTGCGTGGAGCCTCAAAAGGACAGTGCAGCCCAAAATGAAAATCATACTTTACTCACCCTCATGTTATTTCAAAACTGTCATTGTAAAAAAACAAAAAAACAAAACACAGATATGGTATTAAAATTATTATTTTTCTTTGGCTAAAATATCCCTTTAAGGTTGTCCACATTGAAGTATTGGAATAAATATATTTGAGAGGCAAATAAGATGTGCAAATAAAATGTTCCAATCTTGTCCCTGAGGAACAAAACAAATTCACGGGACTCTCTATTTTATAATGTTTCTTCAGCTTTCTTGTTCTCCATTCATCTACACTTGAAAAACACTCTCCTACTGGTTCAATTTCTTTAAAAACTGTAAACATCATATTTTCAATTCACTGTATTTAAGAATGATTTTTTTCTCTCTTGTGACAGGCTAAAAGGGTAGCATTCAGTCTGTTGTTGGACCAATATCTTTATTTATTGAAGATTAATTAAAATTACAATATTTATTCATTTCCAAACCTTCTCTTGTTTTATCCAGAACTCCTTGATGTTGATTCATGGCAGGGCACAGCAGCTCTCCTTCTTCAGACCAGGCCTTATATCTGGCTGTAAAGTACAGACTAGTCCTAAAAAACTGAAAAGTCATAAAAGTAGTTCCAATATAAAGTGCCGTTAAAGTGACAAGACTCAAAAAGAGAAATATGTGACTGTAAGCTTCATTTAAATACTGTAAACAAGTGTAAGCTCAGCAGAAATCCCCTGAAGATGTAAATGGTGCTCCACATTTATTTGGGGAGAACGCTGACTTTTCACCACACCACTCAGATGATTTATGTCATAAAATCAAACCAATAAAACAGGATGGCACTGAGGTGTCAAAACAGTTTGACTCAAGTATTGCATAACCAAATATTTCTCTTAAGACAAGACCCAAGTGAGGTAAGCTGAATTAAACAAGGGAGGAAGAACGAAGGAAGTTAATCCCTTCAAACAAATGTAAAATTCAGACATTTCTGTAACGCATTACAGACCTTAGTCTTACACAATCCAGGGTAGGTGTCATAAAGAGTAATTTTTTCTTGTTCAGAATTTCTGTCTGAATGAATAGAATTCCATTTGTATTGTAAGGGAAAAAATCAACTAAAAATGAAAATTCTTTCATTTACTCTCCTTCATCTCCTTTGAATCTCAGGCCTTATTACTTTCTTGCTTCCAAAATAGCCTTACAATTGAAGTCAATAAAAAAAAAAAAATCTTAAATTTTAGACTTGGAATAGGCTATAGTGCATGAGGTTTATTGATTTATGAATTATGCAATTTATTATGCTTTTGTGTTAATTTTTTAAAAGTTTATCAGCTCAGTGTAAACATTCTTCTAAATTTCCACTTTTTGAGTAACAGATGAAAGAAGGCTTAAATGCACAATATGTAATTTTCGCTGCTAGAGGGCGCTATTCAAAATAAACAAATAGACAAAGGCGTAGCTTGATGACAGTGACTGATCACTTTCTTAAAACAAACAAACAAAAAATCTATATACTTTTTAACCACAAATGCATGTCTTGCACTAGCTCCTCAATGCGCGTCCGCTAATTCACACATTACGTAATCACATTGGAAAGGTCACGCGCGGTTAGCTCTTCGTCTGTATACTCCGGTTCAAATAGGTAGGGTGAAAAACTCATTTTCTCCAACTTCAAAATCACCAAACATCGATGTTTAAACTTTTTTTTAAAGGGCATTTGACTTTCTTTGCACGTTCGCTTTGTACACTGGGTCGGTACTTCCGCCTACGTCACGCATGACCTTTCCAACATGACTACGTAATGCGTGAAGTCGAGCTAGTGCAAGATGAGCATTTGTGGTTAAAAAGTATAGAAATGGTTATTTTTTTAGAAAATGACCGATCATTTCACTAGATAAGAACCATATTCCTCGGTTGGGATCATGTAGAGCCCTTTGAAGCTGCAATGAAACTGCAATTTGGACCTTCAACCCATTGGCCCTTTGAAGCTGCAATGAAACTGCAATTTGGACCTTCAACCCATTGGTCCCCATTGAAGTCCACTATGGAGAAAAATCCTGGAATATTTTCCTCAAAAACCTTAATTTCTTTGCGACTGAAGAAAGAAAGACATGAACATCTTGGATGACATGGGAGTGAGTAAATTATCAGGACATTTTTATTCTGGAAGTTAATTAATCCTTTAACTAACTGCACTTGAATCTAAAAAGTATCGCGAAATGAACCTCAACCAATTGCGCACTAAAATTCGTCATTATGTTGATGAAGAATTTGGAAGAGGGCTATATTAATGACTTCTTTTCATATGCTGCACAAGTCTATTACTTGAAAATGTAATCTTTTGCAGGTTTAGCCTCAGTCTCGCATATCTCTTTTCGTACAACTTGCTTCAGTTCTATGGACACACATGGATTTTCACAAACATGACAGCCAGATTTCTCTCTTTTGGGGAAGGTAAGCAACAGTTATGAACTCGCTTCTGAAATGTCTGCTCATGTAAATAATCTGGGATGTTAAACAAACCCACAGTTTATTTACATCTCTACCAATTGTACCCAAGATGTTATTTGAGAAATACTCAAGTGGCTGTTTAGAGTTGTGTAACAACCAAAGCAGAACACTCTTATGAAAGAGCTCATGACTTCCACACATTTCAGAGCTTAAAATATTACTTTGCATTTTTAATGGATATAATCAAGTGAAACAAAGCTCTTCTGATAACTTGTGTTTTGTTCTTAGATGCCCAGGCTGGCACCTTCTACTTTGTGGGCGTTATAATGGGCGCTTGTCAGCTTCTGTCTTTGTTGGAACTGTTTCATATTGCAGATGGTTTTGAGGAGTGCAGACTTTTCCCTCGCTTCATGCAGGTAAAATATAAAGACCATATTTACAGTAATAAATGTACAAACCTTGAATTTGCACAACTGTACCTAAGATGTATAAAAAAGAGCTCATTTAAAATTTTTTTTTTAACTTTCAAAATCTAGTTTCTGTTTTTGTGATATTATGAAATGTTTCCCCAATTCTGGCTGTAAATCATAATTTAGTCAGAAGGAAGTGCATGTAGTGCATATAAGGAAGTACATAAAAATGTGTCCAATTTAGAGCTATAGGGTTATACCGTTTTTAAGCTACCTGATTTCTATTCACCTTTATTATTCATTAATGCAGTTTTCCATTTATAGGTAATGCAGAGAAATGTCCTTCTGTTTCTCCTCATCAGTCTGGAAGAGTTTCAGAGTAAACCAGTCGTGTGTGTGCAGTTTTATCTGTGGAATATACTGGGCCTTCTAAGGTTTGAGTCTTTTGTGTTTGCATGCAGGCTTCTGTGAGTAATTCTGAAGGTCATTATTATCTTTACTCTTTGTAATAACATTTATAAACAGTTGCTGGTAAATTCACTGTGGCATCAATATAGGACTTTCAGTAGTGCCTTGAAGACCTAATATACTGTAGGTTTTGCAACAGAGCATTCTGTCTGTAATATTTTTAAATTTTTTTCCCCCCTACAGGTATCCACATGAGTTATTTTGCCTTATAGGCACACCATATTTTAAAATGCTATGGGTGCATCAAACACTCTCGATCCCAGTGTACTTGCTGTCTGCTGTCACAGAAGGTAAAATGTGATTATGATTAAAATAATATTATTTTGGATAATATTCTCACAATTTGGGAAAAATGTAAATGGCCATCACATAATCTTTCCTAATGCTGACCAGCTAACTTTGAAAATATAAATTAAGTGATCAAAGCAGAATATGTTTTTTTTTAATCAATTGTATGAATTATTATTATTATAATTTTTTTTCAAAAGTCATTAGTAGACATGTTTTCACCTGTTTGGTAGACACTGTAGATAAAAAGGGTAAAAATAACAATACTCCTATAAAATATGAGATATTCTCATAAAACCTAAAAAATGAATGCTCTTGTTTTTACAATAATACATAAAAATTAAACATTTCTCAACCTTCTCAACATTGAAAAATAGTTAAGGTTTAATATCCATTTTGCCCTTCTTTAAACAAATAGTGTATAATTATGAAAGTAATTATTATATAAACAATCCATCTGTTAAATATTAACAATTGATAAACTATGTGCTAAGACTGGTTAATTTATGTTTAGTGGAAGTTGAAATTTAGCTTAATTCATAAATTTTGTAAATTCATATGTGAATACAATAGTATGCATATACACAAAATATTTTGAACAGTTTAAAAAAAAACAAAAAAAACATTTAAATTTTCATGAAGTCATGAGTGGTTCAGCTGATTGTCTTCATCTCACTGTTTTGAAGGATCCAGTTTAACAGTACTACTCTTGCTGAAGGAAAGGAAGGAGGATCTTGAGAGCTGGAATAAGAAACTGAAGAAAGACTAACCAGAGAAATTATCAGTACAGGTTCTCCTATTCACCAGTGCCAAACATTTTAACCTTAGGAGTATTATGTTGGAGGCGGAGTGGCTTGTTGAACTCCGCCCTGTGTCGAAACACAATTATGTTTGTTTGTTCAGTGTTACAATTGTAAGTATTTACAGTTTTTCTGAATTGCTAATACACATTTCTTAAAACCATCACTCTTTTTCTCAAAACCTTAAACACATATCCAAACCTTCAAACTAAATTCACAGAACCCCTGACAGTTCTGGCAAAATCAAACAATCGCTTCAAAACCATTTCACCTGTACTCAAAATCAAACAAAGCTTTCAAATCATACACACATTAGTCAATAATATACACACTACAGATCATTCATTAGACACTACATCAAAAAATGGAGAACACAGTGTCCAGTGCAGGGGTGCCCAAACTCAGTCCTGGAGGGCCGGTGTCCTGCAGAGTATAGCTCCAACCCCAATTAAACACACCTGAACCAGCTAATCAAGCTCTTATAGGCATACTAGAAACTTACCAGCAGGTGTGTTGAGGCAAGTTGGAGCTAAACTCTGCAGGACACCTCCAGGATCGAGTTTGGGCACCCCTGGTCCAGTGCATGTAGTTACAAAAAAACCCTGTTTATTTTATTTAGTATATATTTTGCAATAAAACACACACACACACACACACACACATCAAAAGAAATACCTAAGTTTGGTGAATATATTTCTGTCATGACAACTCTGGGAGCGATTGGCATGGTAATGTACATGACAATGTTAATGTATTTGGTCTTGGCGGAATAGATCTGCTATGCTGCTGCTGTTGCGGCAGAGCGAGTACCGAGACTTGCTACTGCCAATACATCCACGACAGCACGTTTATGTCAACACAGGCCAGTTCCACTCTAATATGGTAGTCTTGCAATTCTACACAAGATTCTCTTCCACTTTTCTTTTGAACTTTCCAACTGAGTATGGTGGCCAGCACAGAGAATCTGCTCAAATTAGGTTGAACTCTTTTGTCCTGTCTCTGTCATCGCATGCACAAGAACATGGTCTATCACAGTAGCTCTGATTTCATCTGAAATGACTGTTCTTGCTCTTCCTCGACCTCCTCTTCCTCCACCTCGTATACGCACTCTTCCGTACTTCTCAGATTGATGGACGCACACATGCCATCTGTGCACTTTGAACTACATTTTGTACATTCACATATTTAGAAACAAGTGTGAACAGTTTTGAATTATTGTGTGTAAAACATACACATGCCATATTTTGATTAATAATATTACTGTATTCATTTGCATAAGTTATTTTACAAATATTTGCAGTAATTTACAGTATTTAAAAAAAAAAAAATGTAGCCAGCCTTAAAACATATGTCTATCTTAAAGTGAACTACATAGATTGGATACATTATTGATAGGCTACCACACTCAGCATTATGTTTATCAACATTAATGGTGTTTCTGGACTTTAGGCATTCTTACGTATGCCTGCAAGAAAACCAAGGTCAAATAGACCTTGTTAATTTATATTTAAAATTGTTTTTTTGTTTGTTTTTTTGCTCACAGATTATTACTAAAACCAGCACACAGCTTAAAAACATTGTTCAACACAATCTATAAAATAATGAAATTATTATTGTCATTAATACGTTTTAAATAAAATTCACTCCAAGAAAGCAATTGTATGGTGTCAGAACTTCTAGATGCTCTCCAATGCTGCCACCAATTAAATGATTCCAAAAGAAGATAAATCGGATATAACATGGTATAATAGCATATATTAAAAAGTAATGTTTTTCTTTCACAAATAAGTTTAGAAATTTACTAATTGAAAATATCAGTTACAAGACTGTTGCTAAAAAGGATATATTACGCGTGAAAATATTGGTTAGGGTGAACATAATTTTTTCAGACTGGTTCTCATAAGAGAACCTGGAGATTTGGTTTGGTGCTCACACTGCACATAGAGTGACCCATTAAATAGAAGTAGAAAAAATGAAATAAATAGTAATAATAGTATTATTGCACTTTATTTAGTTTTTAAAAATATAAACAAAATAATAAAATGTGATAATACCATTATATTTTAAAATAAAAAGTATTAAATTAAAAAAAATTTATTTTATAGTACACTTTAAAAATTAATTGCTAATATTTACATTAAATTTTTTAAAATATGAATTTTTAACATTTTCAAACATATCCATTTGTCATTGTCTGCACTGTCTCTCTGAACACCAATCCAAAAATGGTTCTCTTTAATTAGAGAATTGTAAGATAAATCCTTTAAATCTTTACTTCTGACAGTGGACAGGTCGTCAAAGTGCTTTCTGCAGTGCTGCTGTGCCTCTTGCCATGACAAAGTCTCGTTCACGAAAATGTGATATCTGTAGACGCTGACATTCAGCTCAAAGAGGCTCAAAAAAAGCAGCACAGTGACTGAAGCCTTCATGTCGACCTGGATGATCTCCACTGCAGCAGAATTCTGAATAAATGTGGTCTTCCCCATTTCCTCAGGATACTGATGACTTGTTACCACACCTTTTCACAAATTTCTGGTACGAGCAGACCAATGAAAACCAGGACCGCTCTAACATTGAGAGTGACCTTGACATGTTAGGACCTTCAGTCATTACAGAAACAAACAAATTTATTTTCCTAAAATGCCTAACTAAGGCAAATCAGAAGACTCAAAAGAAAGGACATACCTACAAACTCATTTAAAGCAGTACAAACATTTAGTGAGTTCAGAGGATGGAAAGCGTTAGGTTTTGTGGATATATATACAGTTGTGTATCATCAGCGTAAAAATGGAAGGTAATGCCATACATGCAAAAAAAAAAAAGGGGTAGCATACAAATAATAAATAAAAGCAGGCCCAACACTGAGCCCTGTGGAACACCTGTAACATGCTCTGATTGAGCATTCTTAATCTGAACCTACTGCTTCCTGTCACTTAAATAAGATGAAAACCAAAGAAGTGCATTATCAGCTATCCCAATACAAGCCAATCGTTCCAATAAAACTGAATAACTAATAGTATCGAAGGAAGCACTAATATCTAGAAGAATAAGAATATACAGAAAACTAGAATCAGCTGCAAGGAGAAGATCATTTGTAACTTTAACGAGAGCTGTTTCCGTGCTATTTTTGGATCTGAAACCCAACTGAAATTGCTCATAGAGATCATTACTTTGCAAATGTGCTTCAAGTTGAGTTGCTACTGTTCTTTCAATCAGCTATCCCAATACAAGCCAATCGTTCCAATAAAACTGAATACTAATAGTATCGAAGGAAGCACTAATATCTAGAAGAATAAGAATATACAGAAAACTAGAATCAGCTGCAAGGAGAAGATCATTTGTAACTTTAACGAGAGCTGTTTCCGTGCTATTTTTGGATCTGAAACCCAACTGAAATTGCTCATAGAGATCATTACTTTGCAAATGTGCTTCAAGTTGAGTTGCTACTGTTCTCTCAAGTATTTTTTTAAATAAAAGGAAGATTAGAAATGGACCGATAATTATTAAAATCATTAGGATCTGCACTAGAATTTTTAAGAATTGGGGTGATAGAAGTCAAAATAAAATAATTGTAAAAATAAAAATAGTAATACATCTTACACAAAACCCCGAATAAAATCACTTGTTAGTTTAGAGATAACCAATGCTGACAAATGCTGTGAATTTGCTTCAGTGTAATACAGGCATGGTTGCCTTTCTCTCACATAGGTGATTCACCTTATATACGGAGTGAGGAAACATTCACATTAGTTGCAAGGATATGTGAGGTGTACATTTTTTTCCAAATGAGAAAAACCAATCAAGTCTTGCAGAGCTGAACAGACCAGTAGTTCAGATTTTTACTGGCCCCACCACCACTAATAATACAACACGGAAACATATTTAGCAACATTTTTTTTGTGTTAGAAATAATATTTAGATTTTTCATAAAATGGTAGGTTTTTGGTAAAACTAGTTTTTAATGACAGTAAATAACAAACAGGAAGTTAATGCAGTTGGAAAAGAATGGGAGTTATGTGATCAAAGGTACGTGAGTAGGTAACAATCCTAGCAGCTGTGTACTGAATTAACTGTAATCAATGAAGTTGTTTATCAGGAAGACCAAATAAAAGAGAATAACAATAATCACATCTGTGATGTAACCAAAGCATGAATAAGAACTTCAGTGCTATACTGAGAAAGTGATGGACGGAGTCGGGCAATGTTACGTAAAAGACAGTGGGTAAGGGGTCAAGTGAACAAGCAGAAGGCTTAGACCTAATAATAAACTTAGTGATATTATCAACTGAAGGCAACTCAAATTTAGAGAGAACACTTGTAGATCAAAATACTTGATTATATCCATCTGGATGATTCTTGATGTCTACTGTCAATCTTAGACCTAAAAAAATGAGAAAAGAATACACATTGATTGGGAGAAAGTGAATCATTAACAGAAGGTTTCAACAGTTTGTTAACAGTGCTAAACAAAGACTTTGTTCTGTCCTTTGTCTATGACATTTGCATAAAAAGATGATTTCGCACTTTTAAGTGCAGCCTTGTACGAGATCAGATGCTCAGAATACAACTGTTTGTGTACTTTAAGACCAGTTTAGCCTTTTGGTGACGGAGCTCAGAAATATACCAAGGGGAAGAATTAAAAAAATTATAGTTTTCACAGGAGCCACAGTGCCAAAATGTACCAAGTAAGATGTGGAAGAAATAAAACAGCACTGGTTTACAGAATGTTCAATCATTCCATCCAAAACATTAAGGTCAATATTATTAATATTACAAAATAGAACAGATCGTTCTGGTTTAGCTTTTGTTAAAGGAACAGTAACTTTAAAAAATACCGGCTTGTGATCAGAGATGGGAAATTATCTAACATTGATATATTTACAAATAACTAAAATATCTCACTATTTATTTTAATAAAATTGAAAAGTTGTCCTCACCTTGAAAATTTTTTATTTTTCATGTCGTGATA